TCATCGAATGATTGAATCAGTCACTGAATGGTTCATCGTTTTTGGATTTTTTCATTGAATCATCTATCGTATGATATTTTCAGGTAGTTCAGTTAACACCTTGCCTTCATATGCTACCGCATACACATTTCGGGTTGAAGAATGTAGAAACAAGGTCAAATTTAAATGTGATTATGTATTGATAGGTGCTTCGAAGTAACGGAAACTAATTGCTGATATTGCTTGCATGAGTTGTGTTTTAGTTCTTCCATCATTGAGGTATATCTCATTTACGATGGGCAATGTTTTAGTTTCAAACATCGTCCATCAAATCAGCAATTCACGCTTTTTGGATGGGGAAATGTTCCNTTCCCCTTTTCTTAATTCTTTGTTCATAAATTAATCAATCTATCTGCTAGTTTTCTAGTTAATTGATCAGTCTTTTTCATTTGGCTGAAATTCGAACAATTCACTGAGACTTTTTTTTTCAGATATCGAATGCGTTATCTCGATCTGATCATGAATCCGAGTGTTAAGAACAAATTTATCGTTCGCTCGAAGATGATCACTTTTTTAAGAACTTATCTTGATAATTTGGGATTCCTAGAGGCAAGCTCTTATTGTGATTATTCTTACAAATTTAATGCAGTCATTATAATTGTTTGGTGCAACGTGTACCCACGTTTTCCAAAAGCGGAGAGTGGGGAACGGGGATGCAAGATGGTCTGTTTCCAAGAAACAGCTGAATTTTGGAATGGATATATCTGCGTTAATTTTTTCTTACTCTTCTCTCCTCTCCTTCCTATCCCCACTTCTCTTTTCTCATTTCTTCTGCCTTCCCACTTTTCTTTCTCATTCTGAAGGTAAGTCATTGCCATGTTCATGTTTAAGGTTGAAACACCGATGATGAATCAAATCGCTGGCGGTGCGACTGCAAAACCGTTCGTAACGCATCATAACGACCTCAATATGGATCTCTTCCTCAGAGTTGCTCCCGAACTTTATTTGAAGGTATTCACCGATTCATTGAATTTTCACAACATCTGTAAGACAAAAATTAAGAGTACAGGTTGAAAAGATGCGTTTCGCTCTAAAAGAAACCAGCGCGAAACATATATTCCAAAAACTGTTTTGAAATAGTTATTCTCCTCTAAACATCGTTTTGGTATTACTCTCGCATTTGATTACTTTTTAACTGTAAGTATGCTCTGTGAAAATGCATCGAAAAGGTTTGGCCGAACGGTCGCGCTATCTACTTTAAGCACCTTACTATTAAGCGTAGAATCAATTTCATTCAGCGTTCTTTTAGAACAACTTTTTTTGAATCGAGATTTTAAAGGAGTTATTCTTAGGCCAAAAGGCCTTGTGAATGTTAAGGCATCAGAAATTCTGAAATCTGAAACTGGCTCACTGCGGCGTCTTAATTGACAAACCAAGTTGATCCATGGAATCTTAACTGGAAGCAAAATTTACACGGGTTGTCTTCGAGTGAAACGCGTGTTTTTGAGAGTTAGAACATTGGAAGTTATGTAACCAATATATCTATATACTTCCTCTCTTATCTACATGTTATCATTGGGTTTTCTTGATTTAGATGTTAGTTGTTGGTGGTATTGATAGGGTTTACGAAGTGGGTCGTTTATTCCGAAATGAGGGCATCGATATGACACATAATCCTGAATTTACGTCTTGTGAATTTTATATGGCTTATGCTGACTATGAGGATTTGATCAAAATCACCGAAGACTTAGTATCAAGTTTGTTTATTCTTTAATGACCATTTTCTAAATCTTTTAAATTCTCCAATACTCATTGTCGCATTATGGTAAATGTTATCATGTAAACGAAGTTTTATTAATGCCTATAGTGATAATTAACCTCCGATAGGTTATTCCATCCCTTAGAGAAAAGCAACATTCCCTCATTCGAACGTTTGATCCATGCATGAATTCGTAATTTTTTGATGGAATTTCCGTAAAATGATTCGGCGATTCGATTTAAATGAATCTGTATAGTGATTCAATTATGATTTATGTGTTCAGCAGCACCATAAAAGTTTTGAACATCTGCCTCAGTAGATCACTTCCTTCCAAAGTTTTGTGAAAATTTTAATATCCCAGTTTCTCAATCTCAGTGATATGGCACGATATGTATATAGAGTATTTCCATTTCAAATTGATAGAGTNCTCAAAACCATATTCAGAAATGGTATACGCTATTCATGGAACATACAAAATACAATATCATCCAAATGGTGCTGGTACGGAACCAGTGTACGATGTTCGTTCGTTTTTCAGTCACTGCTATCACTTCGATGCTAGTAAACACCACCAACAATAACAATTCCGATGCTAGTAGTAATATCAGTAAAAATGCTGCTGACAGCTATAATAATGATATAGAATTTGCATTCATAATCGTACTGATGATAATTATATAATAGCAAGAGTAGTAAGAGCAATCTTGTGATGTTATATCAATTCGAAAATTATTTAGGATATTTTAGATCGGTTATAAGATTGTTTCGTGAAGGTATGGTTATTAAGTGACATTATTATATGGTTATACACAGTATGTCATAAAAAATAGATCTGATTTGTATCGAGGTAGCTCTTTCAATAACGAATAGATTTCAGGTCGATTTTACACCTCCATTCAAACGTGTAAACATGTATGAAGGCCTTGAGAAAGCACTTGGAACTGAGTTGCCTTCGCCAGAAATATTACATACACCAGGTTATTTGATTCACTAGTAATGTATTTGGTGATATGATTTATAATTAACCCATTGTTGTGAAGTGGGTTCAGAGATGGAGTCGTTATGAATAATGACAATAACAGAGATCACTTGATGCTCTACTTTCAGAAGCAAATGCAATTTTCGATAAGATTGCCTCGGAAAGGGAGATCGATTGTCCTCCTCCACGAACAACCGCTCGACTGCTCGATAAGGTTATTGTCTGTGAATTATGTTAAATAACGGCGTTGAGTTGTTAAAGAACGAGAAATGAGATTTAAAAGGAAATAATTATTGAAGTTGGTTGGTGAATACTTGGAATCGCAGTTCGTATCACCGACGTTCTTGGTTGGACATCCGCAGATAATGTCACCGTTAGCGAAATGGCATCGTTCGATAAGTGGATTAACAGAACGGTTCGAATTGTTTGCTGTAACGAAGGAAATTGCAAACGCTTATACCGAATTGAACGATCCGCTTACACAACGCCAACGTTTTGAACAACAGGCGAAAGTTTGTTAATTGTATTGATTGGTGTTGTTTGATTGCTTCAACGTTGAATATGCGAATTGTTCGTGAGTTGAGATGAAGTGAGGNCCTTGTACTGAACTTGAGTTGGATTTTATAAGTTCATCTAGCTTATCACTTTAGTCAAAAATTGAAACAAAACGTTCGTTTTCACTGAATATTAGGATCTGCTATTGACTGTTTAATATTCAGTGTCTAACTAGCTGAATGATTATACTTCGCGGAAAGAGTTTATGAATAATGGTTAGGTTAGATAATATGAGGTTAACATACACAGGATATATTTATATATTAGGGTAACTGATATTGATCAGTAGTATGAACATTGCATTTGTATCGTAACACGATTGGTTGTAGGACAAACAGGCTGGAGATGATGAGGCTCAGATGATCGATGAGAATTTCTGTACGGCTCTCGAATATGGTTTGCCTCCGACTGCCGGTTGGGGGATGGGTGTTGATCGTTTGACTATGATACTCACTGACAGCAATAATATTAAGGTACATATTACATCATCAGTCATTCGAAATAACCTTCATTCAATAGTTCCTTATTGAATACGAAAGTCACCTATCATTAACCTTTTCAGGAGGTTTTATTTTTCCCAGCCATGCGTCCTGAAGAACAAAAAATTGGACCGACTCTTGTTGATGAAGACGAAAGTGTTGCGTGAATTATGATTGTTTTATTCAGTTGATCGTATTTCCTAGCATTCGAATCGTTACAATTCCATCGGTGGATTCCGTTGAAGTGTCAAAATTTCGGTCATTTATAAGAAAGTTTTACTGATGCAGCGTTTAATTTTGGTAATGATTTCATTTTTTGGGAGCAAAATGAAGTTGAGATGAGATAAGCTCATCTTTGACTGTTCATTGAATAATTTTGTTTTGTTGCACAATCTCCGCTTCATAAGGTAATTGTTGTTGAATTGAATTTATCGTTGATTATACAAATGTGTGCATCTTCAATGATAAATAACAGTTGTCGTTATTGTCACATTGTCGTACACTATTAATCAAATGCACACTCATGCGGCTACTTTTAAAGTGTTCACATTAAGTCAATAATGTATTCCAGCCCTATCCCCTCTACAGTCTAACCCGCGGTTCTACAAGAGCACCCAGTTGCTACATGCCACAGATCCCCTTACAAGCAATACCTATAACATCAACGCGTAATGAATGAATCAAGTCAGTTGTAGTTTGTCGAGGTTCAGGTTGTCGTGCTCCAGCAACTGCTTACTTACCTTAGACTTAACTGCCGATTGAGGTTTAATGATTGTTACAGTAATGACAATACGACATAGAATCGAAAAGAGGATGAAAGGCTGAATTGAAATTTTCACAGAAATTTCACATTTGCATGTTTCCCAAGAAATCTGTGAATCGGGAGGGCAATAAGGATTTTTTTTTCTGTCGTCGAAAGGTAGGAGCTTAACCACCATCAACAATTTGTGCTATCCAGGAATTTCAAGTTTCGTTGGAGGCGAGAGTCGATATTCGTGGGTAATGTTCTGCTCTATTTGGATAGTACCAGTGATGGGCATTAGCGCGCTAATCCGCTAATTTTTTCGCGATATTAGCATTAGCGATTAATGCGCTAACGTGCTCAACCAGCGGAATTTTTTTAGCGTTACTGGATTTATTTTCGTTTCTTAGCGGATCAGCGATTAGCGTGCTAAGTTTTTTCGTTAGCGTGCACATCACTGGGTAGTACTATAGATCGCTGATAGTGAATGACACCTCTATCCCAATTAGTAAATTGCGTGAACGTGCTATGGCTGTGGTATAGGATGCTTCAAATTGACCAAGAGTGTTCGACTGATGTTTTAGGGTGTTTGGTGGTAGGAATATGGAGGTGGTAGGAAAGCTAACTCGCAATTTTGATTATTTGCGCTAAAACTGATAAAAGTAGTAAATTATTAGTATACTGCAGTAGATAGAAGAAGGTGGAAATAATTCAATGATAATCAAAGAATTTACTCGTTGCTAGCATATTCAAAATGAAGAAGGAGTACAACACGAAACGATATATCACAAATGAAGAAATGCGTCGCTCTTGCCCGATCAGCTTTGATCGCTGGGAATCTCTTAAAATCGTATCGATCAATTAACTGCTCGACTTCGCCTCACAAGTAGTATCAGTTGAAAATCCGCGTAGAATGAGAAAATAGCTAAATGTCGCAGAAAGAAGCTGAAATTATGTATTTATGAAACATTCTCATTCGTAAATTACGTCTTATTCTTAGCATTTATAATTAAGTTTTTGCAACTGTATTTGCAAAGAACGTGTAGTGCATTGCGATATAAGACTATTATAGTTCAACGTCATTATCATTTTCAAATCGTCTATCAAATGAAGTGATCCACTTACGGTCAAAACGATCCCTTTGGTAATTGTGAAAAAACCTCCGGCCGTAAATGAAAGCTGTGCCGTGCGAACATGAGACGCAAAAAATTGTGCGAAACCCTGTAAGGAATATAATGAAAATGCGGCTTTCGGCTTGCTCACAACTGAGCACTTTGGAAGTGATGATTCTACGAAACTTCAACTAGAAAAATAAGAATAAAGAGAAAATTTTCTACAAATTTCCGATAAATTTTCTACAAAATTTCCGATATTCGAAAAGTTTTTAATGGCCAACAAAATGGAATCGTTCGATAAAATGTGCCATTTGGATAATCATTGGAATGAAACTTATGGATCACGTGTGGAATAGAAAATTTCACAGCAAAACCAACGATTAATGCGTCACACTTCGTTTCGATCATAACATTATTGTATAAACGGAATGAAATCGTCGAAATTTTGGTACTCTTAAAGATCAGTTTAGCATAAATCTCTAGCATTCGTAGTCGCTCGATGAAATCTATTCGAAGAATAACTCGTTTATGAACGCAATAGAGAAGTTTATTCGAAAAATTTCCACTCACAAAAATAATGAGAACTGCGAAAATCGTGAAGGTACTTCGAGTTGCGAAACGTGAACTGCAACTCTTCAAAAAAAAGGTAATCAGTGAAAAATATTCATTCAGTCATAAGAAAATGCACTAACCTGTTCCAGTAGAACAATCGCCGGTATCATGAATAAAAGGAAAATGAGTAAAACATGAACGCTCCAAAACGCTATTACTGTTATTTCTAACCAATTCAACGTGGTTTCGCATCGTTCTTGAAACGCAACGTAAAGAATGAAGCAAAGCATCGGTACACACACAAAAACAACATAAAAGTGAACGTATGAAAATTGTTCGTTCACAATACCGACTGCCTCCTCCAACGTCTGAAACTGATGATCACTTTAGGCTAACATGATGACTCTCTCACCGTCTGAACTTAACAAATGCACAAACGAAATGGTATTTATAATCATCAAGCTTGATGATTTTTTAGCTGAAACGATTAACCGCCTTGAAGAGTTAGAAGAAAATCGCTTTGAACCAGTTGACGATGCAAATGACAGCGATGTTGATCATATAAGATATTTGGTGATCATCAGAAAATTTTCTTTATCGATTGTAAAAAAATTATCAGAGGTGGTGATTGAACGAATTATTAACTGTTCATATGAACCACCTAATCACGATTGGTGTTTGCAAAATATCGACGACTTTCTCAATATCGAGATCGATATTAATGCTAGCATCATTTTCAGTACCGCTGATACCGGTATTGAAAAGCAACTTTTAAAATATGGAAATGTGACTTGTTCAACACATTCTTTTTGAGTCAATGTGCTCATAGTTATTCAGAAAACATTTTATTCAAC